AAGCTTCACTGAGCACATCAGACATTCTGTGTATTCTGAGACATTCAATATGTTTAAGTAACTCTGTTAACTAATATTCTCAGGACTTTACTTTCCTGTGTATTAGTCGGGTATTATATATTAACTTTACATTTTAATACTATTGTTGGCAGAGTGAAATATATTTTTGAGATAATGTTAAAATGACAATTGAATGTTTTCTACCATAAACTGTTGTTTATATCAGGTTTCCTTGAGTAAAATAAGAACACTCAACAAGCCCCCCACCATCATTTTATTTTATACATCAGTGAAAATTTTCAGTAAAAACATCATAAACCAAACTGTTTATAAATGTAGTAAATTAAAGTAAAGTAAAGTAAAGTAGGTTCATTCAGGGGGAATCATGTAGGTCAAACCTAAGCTTGCTCAGTGCCTTTCATCAGAACATCTCCAATCTGAAAGAAAGATGTTCTTATATATTATTATACACAAAGTATTGACAATTAAACAGTAGATGAGGAAAAACAATAAGTCAGAATAAAAAAAAGCATTAAAATTAGAGAAAATCACCTGAACATGAGGAGGAGCTTTGAGCACGTAGGTAACAGCATTGGCAACATCTATTGCTTCCAGAGGCTGTCAGAGAAGTGAAAATTGATTAATAGTTGTATCTGAGTAACCATATCAGCAGTACACGAACAGTATGAATAATAATGTTACCTTATATGCAGAGTATGCACCAGCTGCTTTATCTGGATTGTCTTTGTAGAACCGTGATGCAAATTCAGTCTCCACTAAACCAGGAGAAATGCTCTGCAAAAAAAAAGATAAGATAAGATAAGATAAGATAAGATAAGATAAAACTTTATTAATCCCTTGGGTGGGTTTCTCTGGATAATAAAGGAATTTCAAGAAGCACCTTGTGTATATTATAACAGGTAATACTGCTGTCTCAGACATTTTGTGCATGTGTTTCTTAGAAGCTGATATTGGTGTTAAAGGCAGTCTTGGAGCTGGGTGCAGTGTTTTTAAAGCCTTACTGTGGCTCGGATATGGCTCTTTTCTGCACGCAGCTCCTGCCTCAGGCCCTCCGTCAGTGCGGTTACAGCATACTTTGTGGCGGTGTAGAAATGCAGATCAGCATCTGGAATCACACTATGCCCACACAAGCTGCAACAGAAGACAGTTCGGAAGAAGTCGTAACCTGGTCAGCATTTACCAACATGCACTCATCTGTAGGTTATTCTTTTAGAGACACGATTTGGAGTTTCTCATTGGCTTTTTTTTTTATTTCCAGAGAGAAATAGCTGGTGCTGACAGGTTTAATCAGCATTGTTTGCTTTCCTTTTTTTTGGCTTGAATGCAACAGATAATCATTTGCTCCTTATTATTGGGATAGAGCCATTGCCATTGTTATTACCCTCTTCTTTGTTTTTTCTATTGTTTGCTGTGAAAACAGTCTTCTGTGTAGTGTTGACAACTTTTATTGGATGCTTCCTAGACTTTCTTAGGTGAACCAGTCATTGTTAACTTATTAGAATTTATAGCACCACTTTGGTTACCAGGTCACTCTGATAAAAGGGGACTTCATGGTAAAATAAACATGCTAACATGCTAATACTGGAGGTTGCTATGTGTCATGGCACAGATAGGGAGTATTGGCGTGTTTGGGTTGAGTGTAAGGGAAAGTCCTGCCCTCCAGCTTTAACAAAAGGTCCACTGTGAGGTCCAATGTGTAGTGTTGTCATAATCAGAGACTGACTGTTTAATAAAGATTATAAGATATAATCTTTGTTTAATAATTAAACCAATTTCACAAGCACACCCTTCGCAAAGCATTATTAAATAAAACTGCACCTGTTGATGTTTACGATGTGCCCATCATCCACGTTTCTCTCTTTCATTGACTGATAAGCTTCACGCGTGCAGATGC